TTCCTATTTGACTTCTCTTCCTAATGGATCAAACCCACAACTTCAGAATGTAAATAATTTTCCTGCATGAAAAATTTCACAGCTGCAATGTGGGTCCCATGGAAGGGAGTTGGAAAAGATTCCATCACTGGAGAAACATGTAGGTTTTTTACATATAATTCTTTAGAGCTTCCATCACTGGTGGGTGCAGTTTCCTGCTTGGTTTATTTTTGTGGTGGTGATGGTTTTTAATTTAAAAGAGTTCATAGTAGGTAACTGTAGGACATTCTGTGTTTAATTCCATACTTCTGCTTATACATTTAATTTTAAATCTAGATTTAGAAAAGAAATTTTTTTTCATAATTTTGTAGTTTCCTAACAGAACAAATGTTAGGAATAAACTACTGAACTTCCTTAAACTTAGAACATACTTATAATTTGGAGAAAATACTGCCTTTGTATTTATATTTACAAGTGTTTTTATGGATAGGTGTCCTCTGTATATCATGCTGTTGTCTCCAGCATCCAGTTTATGCTTAAGATGACCAACATTAGTGTGCTCCATTTTAATGAAGTGTGAGTACTCAGTGCTTTAAAGGACATTTTTTTACTCCAATGTACATATGAAACAACCACTAAATTTTACAGTCATATACTAAAATGTAACAGGCATATCTGAAATTTTTAATGTTATCTTAAAGTATTTGCCTTGGACAACACTTCCGAAGAAAAACGGGGAGCATGTTGCTTCTTTTACTGTACAGCTTCTATACATGCTTTCCCATATTAAAACTGTTCAGTGCCATGAAAGTAGTTGTGTAGTATTTTTTTAGAAATCCATTTAGAACAAATATTGAGTCATCCTAAGTTCCATCTAGACTGCTAGGGCTGGATCTGGGGCACAGAGGAAATAGAAGGCTGAGCAGCTCATTGTAATAAGGTAATGGTTTACCATTACAGTTAGTTATATGGATTGCATTTTTGATTTGCTACTGATGTCTTGTCATTTATTGTTTAACTTGATTTTTTTTAAAGTTTTGTCTTTTTAGGTCCTTCAAAGCTTTTTTTCTCCACAGTTTACCCTTTGTACTGTCATTTTCCCTATAGTGCATGTCAGTAATTCCATTCTACGGATACAGACCCATAATGGAATGAAGCAGGAAAAGCCATTACATTGTTTTAAAAAGTCACTGTGTTATCTTGCATGACTTTTTCTAGAGTGTGAATCAGTTCCTGTGTTCTTGTGACACACTCAGTATTTTTAAATTGCTTTTGTGGGTGACTAGACGTATTTGAATAGCCATGTGCTAAATGCAATTGCTGTCATGCTTTCTCAAGCATTAGATTTCTGAATAATGACAATGTTACATGCAGAAGCTTTGTCTGCATATACATAGAAATAACTATCTTAAGTATATGCTTTTGCATGATTGTCTTTCTCTGGTACCTCCCTGAAGCTCATAGCTTTTTCCCTCTTCTCACATATTTGAAGATTGTGTAGACCTGTGAAGAAAAACCAGCAAAGAAACATCAGCATTTACTTCCAGTAGAGTGCTTGTTGGTCTAAGAAATGTTTTTCTCTTGTAGAAATAAGGCTGTTCTTTTGAAAGGAATGGAAAGGTAATGGCTATCTTACTCAAAATCACGGATGCCACAAAGCTATTCACCAACCTCTAAAAAGTCTCATTTAGAGGTTCCCAGGAGCACAAATGGTTCCAAAACACTTATTCAATGTCACCATGATTAATTTCCTGGAGCTTCTCATGTGAGTCCAGGAGTGTAGCAGTGCAGCCGTAGGCACAACAGTGCGGGTGCTACTGAGTGAATTTTTTAGTCTGTCAAATGATTACATGTGTGGACCTATGGCAGTCAAGTATATACAAAATTATACAGATATAAAGGGTTTTTCAAGTCCATATTAACATATCTTACTGCAGTAAAATAGATATTTTTGGTTCAATCTAATTAGAAATGTGTTGTTTCACGTTATGCTACTTCCATTGTTTGCACATTTTACTACATAGTTTATAGGTTGTAGCACTTGAGTGCCTTTTGGTGGTTTAATCCTCTTTCTATTAAGATAAGAAGGAAAAATAAATATTTCCCAATTTTAGTTTATTTCCCATTATTTTTGTTTCAAGATAACACTCTTTACATCAAATTAAACAGCTGAGATCTGAGTAGTCTATTCTCATTCCCTGGTTTAACAATGTGTTGAACTTGAAAGCTGTGTATATATTTTGAATGCTAACTTCTTCAACTCTAATTCTTGTTGTTATATCCTGCCTTTTCCTTGGAAATGACTTTTGGGTAATGAGAGGTCTCCAAATTAATCTTGTCTTCCAGCTGCAGAAATATTAGATTAGAGGTGGGCAGTTTACGTGAAGTTTTCACAAGTACTGTGAATTTCCCCCATATGCTTTCAATCTCAATTTATTGTCTTTAGTTTTCGCCAGTTCAGAAGGCTTTTCAAGTCTTATTCTAAATCCTAAATTCTTGGGGGATAAAATAAGAAGAGTTTTGTGTTAATGTAGTTCATTCTTCTGAATGACATAGCTTGCAGAACATTAGTGGTGAGTTCTTCTTTGAACACAAATGTATTTTTGTCCACCCTGTTTTTATTTGAGAAATGTATTTTTCAACTTAGAAATTACTCTGAAAATTGGAAATTAAAAACATAAAGAAAATAAGACTCATGATAAATAAAGTGGTTGTTAGGAACTTTCTTGCATTATAATGCCAATCATATATTTGTGCAAAATCTGTGTGTGTTATGGATTGAATTAGTCAGCACTGAGGCTTCCAAGAAGTCTTACTTGCTGAGTTTTCTGAAATGTTTTTATTATTTCAATATTACTAGAAACTTGGTAAAACTTCAGTGGCAGATCTCATCTTGGATTTTGCAACTTTGCCACAGAAATCCGGGTGTTTAGCTTCTAAATTTTATTTATTTATTTATTTATTTATTTTTTAATGGAAAATTTACAGCTTTCTGTGGGAAATGGAATGGATCATTTGGAAAATCAAGGATTTTATCAGTAAACAATCATGGTCCAACCACTACTTCCTATGCAGTTTTGGCATAAAGATAAATGCTGAGTATTTAGCTATGAAATGAGCCATTAAAATAGGAAATGAACTTATAAGTATGTACATATCCTGGATGATAAGCACCAAAATGGAAGGCAGTTTCATAGAACCAGCTTTCTTTTCTAGCTTTTCCTGTATTTTTCTGTTTCATCTTTTCAATTCCCCCCCACTTGGATGGTTTGATTATGATTTCCTCTCAGAAACCTCTAAGTAGAAAATGCTTAAAATGTTTTTTGGAACTCTATTTTCCATCAAAGAAACAAACAGCAAACTTGCTTACAGTTTTTTTTTTAATGGGCAAAACAATATTGGTTAAAAAGAATTCTCTTAATCTTCTTGGAAAAAATATCTAAAACCACTCTGCCATTTTTCACAGAAGTGATTGAAGTTGTTTTGAGCCAACCTTTTTCCTGTTCAGCTACAAGTGAGCATTAACAAAGTAGGTGCTAGACAGACAAATAAGTATGGCCAAAGTAAGGGCAAACTAACATTGCTGTGATTTTTATTGGTTACACTACTCCTCTCATCTTTTGTACAAAAGGCAACTAAATCTTTATGTTAGATATCAAATTTATGGATAGTAACGCAGAATAATTTTGATAAATTTATTGGTGAAATGCTGATAGGGCAGTATGTTCACAGCAGTTTTTTTCTCTTTTCCCCAATGTGATGAGCAGCAGACATTCAGCATTCATCAGGCCACACAGTGGCCTGACATTATCAAATGTCTTGTTCTTTCCTTGTGCTTTTAGAAAAAGTGGTGGTATTAATGCTAGTTCAAAGCTAAGCCTTCATATCTTACTGTCAAGTCTGTGTCTGTGACAAACTCCATGACTTTGATTCTTTCTCAATACAAATTCACGTCATTCAGTCTTCCAGAGAGGTTTTTGAATGTTCCTCCTTGCATTTTGACTGCTATGCAGTTTGTTTAAAGTCAAAATATACCTTGTGTCCGTCAAGCTGCTCTTTTCTCAAGATAAAGTCAGAAACTTTTGGCAGTTATTTAAAAGTGCTAAAATTATTATTTTTGAAGTGCTCAATTTTTCACCACCTATTCCTATTATTTTTTTTCTTGACGAAGTAACTCAAAGATCAACAAATGCAAATGCATAAAAGATAAAGAAAGGCAATGAGTAAACGAAGAGGGGAAACAACTGTGTGTTCCCACCATAGCTATTCAGTTAAATTGATCTTCAGCACTGAAGTACAGTTGTCAGTGACATAAGGAAGAATGACTATTTCCAGTTTATTCTGTAATGAATCTGATGCTCCAGACAAACAGAAGGTCAGTCTACTGTGGTAAAAGAAAGGATTTAAAAACTGTATTCAAGAAATTAAATTAGGAGTCCTATGTGGAAGAATAATGTTGCTTATGGAATTCTCACATTTATAGACTCACAAAATACGTATTTATCAATACTGCTTGAAGAGTATGTTATGCATAATGTTACATGAGTTGTTCTGTCAAATATGAACTTAGGCTCTTGACAGTGTCTTGTCAGACAGTCTCTGCTCCTGTCCAATGCCAGTCATCTGCATCTCAGTCTAAGGAATAAATAAATCTTCAGCAGAAGTTGAAGCATTGCTCATGCTTTAACAAGATTTATTTATTCTTTTATGAGTAGTAAACTGATTATTGATAAGTAGAAACTGTAATGAAAATTTTGGAAAAAATGGTTATAGTTTCTTGTGACAAAAGGGAATTTTATTACTTTAATTTTCTTTCACTTGAAATTTATGCTGTTTTTGTCAAGAGGAACAATTACTTGGGCATGATTTCTGGATTTTCAGAATCCTCAAATACTGTTGAGTTAGTTTACCTGTCCTAGCAGATAAAGAATTCTGTCTGATAGTATTTAAGCAGTGGGGGACAAGAAGTCTGCAGGCTGATGTTCTTCAATGTGGTTAATTAATACTTTCTGGTAAAATAGGGAGAACATTTCAGAAGGTATTCACTCTGCCTACCTTCTGTATTTAAAAATATATAATTTGGAGGGAAAATGGGTGAATATGGAGAGATTTAACAATACATAAGTGTGTCAAGGGTAGCATGACACATCCAAGCTGCTCTTCTCTAGAACTGCCTGCTTTTAGCCCAAGGAAGAAGGATTCAAGATTCTAGAACGTATTTTATACCAAATAGGTGATGGTACAAAGTACGCAATTTTCTCTCATCTTTCTTCCTTTCTTTCTCAAAAAGCCCCATTTTATTATGACGTACTACTGTATTGTTTCTTTTTATCTTTCAGTCTGCACAAGGTGGTGGTCATCGAACGCTACTCTACGGGCATGCAATCTTGCTGCGCCATTCGTACAGCGGCATGGTATGTAACAGGAGTTGTGAGCAGCAATGATTTCTTTTTTTGTATGAAAGTTTTGTTTGAAAGCGCCCACCGTACTGCCACTTACTGATATCTGGAGAGTTATTGACATCAAAGAGGCTTTTTACTTGCGGTTACTGGAAACTTTTGTGAAGGGTAGATGCTTGAAAATACCAAACCAAGCTGGTTGTATCTCGGTAAGTGCTAAAAGTAAGTCTGGCTACCATAGTGCTGAATCTTCTGTTCATCAGTCTGAGTTGGTGAATTCTCATTCCTTTTGCCTTGGATATTCCATATTGCATAAACTTTGACTGAATCTGCAGCTGGCATCTTGCTGTCAACCTGAGCATATGTTGAAGGCTGAGTGGAAAAGGAAATTCCTTCTTGCATGTCTTTTAGACAGAAGCCTTAGTCTTCAATTCCTTGATGAATTATATAGGTTACAAACTCCTTAACTACAGATGAGGCTCCATGGAGCTGAAATGTCATTCAACTAACTCCTTTATTTCCATTCTCAAAATTTCCTGTCTCAATGGAAAGATAGCTGGGATAGGCTGAGAGGTTATTTTAGAACATATATCTTTGTCAAGTCTCCTTGAGTGCCATTCAGTTATCAGGCATACATGTTCCTGATAGTAACTAGTGGGGATAATCTAAGAATAGTTAATCCTATGTTAATAGGTTTTTATATTTTAGTGGATTATCAGAAGTGAACAGAACAAGTACTGGATGCTTTTTTCTTTTGATAGTATCTATGCTGCCTCTCTACATCTCGATCTTCAATGGATAAGCTGGCATTTGACGTAGGATTGCAAGAGGACACAACAGGTAAACGCTAGCTGAAAAGACTATATAATGAAGAATACTTTCAGTCTAAAATCAGAAGAGACATACATATAAATCTTGTAAAAAGTAAGACTATTTGAGAAACTAAAGAAACCAAACGATATTCTCGTGTTTAAATAGTCAGTATTTTATCTTTATATTTTCTAATAGATTATTTATTTTCTAAGAGATATAAATATGTCTATTTGTATTTAAATTTATACTAGTGAATATAAGTAAAGGAATATTCTCATGTTTTAATTCCAGTAAAAGCCTTTCACTGATTTTTTTTTTTAAACATGTATTATTTTAATAAAAGTTCTGTTTAAACTGTTATTGACTTGAATTTATTTTAAGTTTTTAAAGACTAATAGTGCTTCTTGCAATGCCATCGGTTTGGTGTAATAGTTAGACATAAGTTTACTTGATTTTAAAGTCTTGTTCTAGCTAGGAGTGGTAAGGGTAATGACTGCAACAGTTGAACAATTTGAAGATTGAAGAGTGCTCTTCTGAAAAGCACGCTTTCTGTTCAGGAAGCATATTGGAAAGTAAGGTTTGTCGTGGGAACAGAATTTTTGACTCATAAATGTTAGAGACACTAACAATCAATACAAGAATTGAAGAACATATTTAAATTTGAATTTATAAGATCTATCAAATATTGTTTTAAGCAGTATTGTAAATGGTTATTTTAATTGCCCTTAATGATGGTTTGCTCTATTTCTTTGTCCTGATTCTCAGTGAAATATTCTCTGATGTCTTTTCCAGAATCTGTTAAGAAGGTGACTGGGAATCTTTAGCAAAAGCAGCCTGGACCAGGTTGCCTAAAGAACATAGAGCTGCCTCCTTACTCTGGCATCACTGTTCCAGAGGTCTTAGTCTTCTGCTTATGTGTATTATTTCCAGCTGAGTTTCTGACAAGGTGGTGCAGGAATGATACTAATTACTGAAAACACATGAACATTTGGTTTAACCAGCTGAAAACTGGATCAGAACTTTAGGGCTGAGATAGGTGTGAAAGTAATGTCAGTAAGATTGGGCCTTTTCTTTCCTATTCATTTCTTTGCTCTTACTTAATATTGATATAGGTGAGGCATGCTGGTGGACCATACATCCTGCTTCCAAGCAGCGATCTGAAGGAGAAAAAGTGCGTGTTGGAGATGATCTTATTTTAGTCAGTGTCTCTTCAGAAAGATATTTGGTAAGTTATATAACAATATATGCACAGTTCTTCTACAAAAACCAAAACAAAACAAAAACCCAGTTACAAAAAGTGTTGTAATAAAGTGTGTTTTACATTTCCACCTCCCAAAAGTAAAACTTAAGGTGCTTCAAATGGTTTCTTATACCATTTTGCAACATAAGACGCTAAAGGTCCTTTGAGTGTTCTGAGGTTAACAACGCTGGTACATATAAATTAAAGCTTTTTACCGAAATTTTATTAAGATTATGTACAGTTTAATATGTAGAGCAACTGACACATCATAATTAAATATAATTAAAAGACTTAATGATTAAATATAGTTGAAATACTTTAAAAATTTCTTAGTAGCTGCTTCTTATCACTGGCTGAACTAACTTTCTTCATCTAAGTATCTCCCATTTTTTCTGTGATGAAACACTTCAACACTTTAACATGAATTTCTTTTGGAATTCTTGGTGTTGCAAACAGCTGAACTACTCTTTATGGCAAAAGAAGTTCAAAATAAGAAGAAAATAATTCTGCTGGAGGCTTTTGAAAAATTAGCTGTAGTGATTCGGCAAAACAACCTAAAAATAGAATCTCTAAACAAGAGGTGTTTTGAGTTTATCAGAAACTGTTTCGGATCTAGGAAGGCCACAAAGATGGTGAAGGGTTGAGAGAGGAGGCCCTGTGAGGAATGGCTGAGGTCACTTGGACTGTTCAGCCTGAAGAAGATGAGACTGAGTGGAGACCTCATTGCAGTCACATCTTCCTTGTGAGGGGAAGAGGAGAGGCAGGCACTGAGCTCTTCTCTGTGGTGACCAGTGACAGGACCCAAGGGAATGGCCTGAAGTTGTTGCCAGGGCAGGTTTAGGTTAGATATTGGAAAAGATTCTTCACCCAAGGATTATTTGGCACTGGAACAGGCTCCCCAAAGAAGTGGCCAAAACACCAAGGCTGACAGACTTCAAGGAGCACTTGGACAGTGCCCTCAGGCACATGGGGCTGTCCTGTGCAGGGCCAAGAGTTGGACTTGATGATCCTTGTGGGTCCCTTCCAACTCAGGATATTGTATGATATCTGCACATAACATTAGGTTTTATTCACTATTATTCACTTTTTTTTTTTTTTGCTATGAGACATTTTTTATTTTTTTACAGTATTTAGGAAAAAGTGAATAGCTTAAGAAGACTTCAGTTATAAAATTGAAAATGTTCTTCCATCTTTTGGAAACTCATAGGAAAATGAGAATATAATTATTAGAATATTATTGTAACTTCTACTTAGAAGCTCAGTAGCTCATTAAATGAGTTTTTTTTTTTTGTAATTATGTATTCTGTCAACTTTCTCATCATCTTTGCATTTAAAGATTCTTTTAAAAGACTACTTTTAAACAGAGAACTGCAATTAGTCTCAGTGGAAAAATAACTTATTGTGGGCTAAATTAATGAGAAATATGATTCATTAAAAGGTTTTATTTAAAGACACTGGATTTCATTGAATTTGGTTGCCGAAGTTGAATTTTGCTCCAAATTGTGTCTCTTTGTAGGCATATGCCTGAACTTATACTTCCTGCCCTCTAATTAGTAAATCAGCTCAGCTTTTTATATTATTTAAGTCCGTGTGTCAACTGTTGATTCTCAAGGCTGTCACACGTACTCTGATGCAGCAAGATGCGACATGCTGTCTGCAGAGACTGTTTTGTCAACACGTGGTGTTAATGCATATACTTCATCTGCCATGCAAAATATCAATATACTAAAAAGAAATTATGTTTTCAGTGGAGAGAGAAATGACAATGAATTATAGTTGTAAAATGATTTAGAGCTAGGCTTTAATGAGTGTTTATTTCAGTTATATGGCTCTGGTTTGACAGTAAGAGGAAGCAAGGTTTCAGCAAATTAATTTTGCTCTTACATGCACTCCCACATTTTTATAAACAGATGTTTTTCAAGACTAAATTAAGAACTTGTAAGCTATGTACCTTCCTAATCATAAAAATATTTGGTTTTTTTTCCCTACCTCTTCAGTAGTTATATTAGCACTGTCAATAAAGCAGTGAAACTTTGATGAGAATTCAAATAGTTGATAGAAACTATTAGCCAATATTAGCCAGTTACGAATGAGTGAATGTTTTTTGTGAGGGCTGCTTCTCTATCTTAAACTGTTTGTCTTAATCCGTTAGGCCATTTAGAAAAATAACTTCAAAACACATTGTTTGAAAAGAATACATATATTGTAAATATCTAATGATGCATATATTATAAATCGTAGATTTTTTTCATCAAATGCAGTGTCACGTTATAGCTTCTATTTTCTAAAACTCTTAAAGGAATGCAGGAACTTACATATTTTACAATAGTTAGGACTGTGGAGAGGTGAAGTTATTTTTGTGAAGCTGCTCGGATTGTGAGACCAAACAAGCTGTATTGAATCTAGCTGAGGGAGGCTTTTTCTAAGGGTGTGGAGTTCCTCAGATGGATCCCTTAACAGAGAATAATGTTCATCAGGATGCTGAGGGATAGTTTTCTGTATGTTGTATACTCTATGGTTAAAACCTTAGGAAAAAGTAAGTTTTCTGTCAAATGTTCTACATAAATATGCTGTTAGGAATAGAGTTGGCATATCACTTTTTCATATTGCAGTATTGCTCTATGTTTTCAAACAACTCACTAATTCTTTCCAAATGAAGACAAATAGGTTAAACATCCTGGGGCTAAGATGTGCATGTAAAAATAACAGATGAATAGAGTTCATTCACAGGGCATGGCTTTTTAAAAGTGTAGTCAGCTTTTAGCTGAATTTATATAATGTAAGAGGAGAGCAGAACTATGTCATATTCATTAGTAAGTCCTCCAGTTTTCTGACTGTAGCTTAATTAATTTAACACTGAAATCATAAATTCACAAAGTCAGTGTAGTGAGTAGATTAGTGTTTATACCTCATTTGGTTGGCAACTCCTATTAAATATTAAGAAAATATCAGGTCTTTGCTGTAGTTCCCCTTTCCCATTTTCTACACAAAAAAATTATTTTGGGACAACGAGCTCTATTTTTTTTCCCCAAAGAGTGATCTTTTTACTTGAAGTGAACAGGAGCTAAACTTAGAGGAAGATCAGTGTTAAAATCATAAGCTAAACTGTTTTTTTGACACACAACAATGTCCCAAGGCAAGTCATTCACTTGTTCTGACTCTAAATATCTACCTATACAATGCGATTTTGGATCCTTATTTTCCTGTGTAGAATTTCTGAGGGAAAGCACTTACGTAAGTGCTTGTGGCATTATATAACATGTGAGCTGCATTATTGCCAGATACTTCAGAGAGAAAACTTGGCTCTGCTAAACCCTGTTAGCAAAAAGATGTTCTGCTATAAATATTGCCACCATTTAAGTTCAAGCTGGAGTTGCTGTATTTCCTTTCTTGAGGCGATGCAGCCTGATAAAGAACAGATATAATATTTCCAGCATGTTTCCCCAACTTGTACATAATAGTATCTACCTTTGCACTGAGGTTTGCCTGTGCCTGTTACTAATTATATATCCTGATTTTTTTCAGTATTGCCGATTTTCAATAATTTAGAAGTTCCAATAATTCTAATTTCTGTCAAATTTATGAAGCCTCTGAATAACTTAGTCTTTTAAAAATAATTCAAGAAAAAAACCTTAAACATGAAGTTGAAATACAAAATGAAAAAATGAAGATAAAACTGAAAATTTTTTATCCTTGAGGCCAGTGTTATTTTGGCTAAGCAATCAGGAAGGAGATAAAAAAACCCCAACTTTGAATCTGCAATGAACAGATTTCAATATAATGAAATAGTTTCTGCACTGTGGTATATACATGGTTTCTGAGTTGCTGTCTCAGTGACTGCAGTGCTGACCTGCAGCTGCGTTATGCAGATCTGTGAACGAATCTTGATGTTTATTTGACTGAAGTGACCTTTTGTTTTAAATTTTTTTGACTACTGGAAATAATTATGGAACTAATTGGAAGCTTTCCTTTGAAGTGTAAGCTTTTCCTTGAATATTTTTATCATGGATAACTAAAGGCAGAGTTCCCTTTCAAAAATAATTTCATCCAAATTAGATCAAACTATTTTAAAGATGGAGCTCATATCTGTCATTACTCCTGGACAGGAGGACAGGTTCCTCAGTATTGCAGAGGCACTGCCTTTGCATCTTCTTGCATCAAATACATTGTTTATTTTCAACTCTTAGTTTTATTTGTCTTATTTATATGCTTGCAATAGCTTCTAAATATCTGTATCATTTGTTGGTGCAATAGTAACAGGGAACACAGCAGTGTGTGACTTTAAAAAAAAAAAATTAAAAAATTATTCTTCTCTTTCAGTTTTTTTTTTAAAATATGAAACTCGTTATAGAGCTTTGCTTTCTTACATTTAAATTCACAATTCCATAATTTCTTATTGTTGAAAAATTTTAAAACAGATTTTAAAAAAAAATAATTTAATCTGCATAAACAAACCTGAAATTAGTGGAACCGAGGTAGTGTTAGGCTGCTCTGTTACACTGATCATAATGCAGTTCCCTTGGAGTCTTTATACACATAGAAATGTTATTGTGGAGGCTGGTAGAACTTCCCAATAATTAAGGTTGTCAAGCAGCTCTGCCTTATAGGGTCCTGCTTCCAAGTGCTTATAATCAAGTGCTTGTAATGTGAAAAATCACTTACTAGAAATAGTAGCATCTATTTCTGGATTTTTTTCCCTTGTTTGGTTCCTTTTTTAATCAGTCTGAGAATTTTTTTTTAGTTAATCTAGAAGAGGGCAGATGTTACTGAGCTCAAACACAGGGAAGAAAAAAATCCTATCATTAAGAAAATTGATCTCATTTTCTTGTGTGCTTCTTGGTAACTTAAAAGAAATAAAAAGAGGAAGGAATAAAAAGGCAAAAAGTTCTTCTTGCTTAAGCTTAATAAAGAAACATTCTTCTGAAATAATGGAGCTTGGTCATGCCCAGGGAAGATTGTTTAAATTTTCTTTTAGTAGCTAAAAG